CAAAGTTTCTATAAAACAAGGACAAGAACTTGGCGTGATTCTAAACGATGCTTCATCTGACTACACATCCCAAACTTGAGACTTTTACCCCCTCATTAGCTTGGTCACTAGCGGTCAGAAATTGGTTTCTCTTTAGTTGAGGCTTTTTTTTTGTTGTTGAAGCCTAGCAGAGCACCTAAGCCATTGCACAGCTCTCCTGTTTTGACTGAACTCTTCTCATTTATCCCTTGGCTCGTTATCTATTTGCTCTCTTGGCTTGTTACCTATTTTCTCATTAATTTCTGCAGGTGCATCTCCACACCCCTCAGGGACATTCTTATGGGAAACTACAGGGATCCCGTGGTCATTCTCTGCATCGATATCACTGACCCAACCGTTGCTATCTTGAACCTCATTAGCAAGAGAAGGCAGGGACAGGAGTCAGAGCCTTCTCAGTGATGGCTCCTCAGCTATGGAACTCCCTCCCTAGGGATATTAGATCAACCCCCTCCCTACTGACATTCCATTTTTTAAAAAAAACTTGGCTTTTTGAACAAGTGTTTGAAAATGCAGTGTAATGGATTAATTTGGAACTCAGGAGAGAATGAGCATGGATTGGGTTGACAATGTATTTGGAAAATGAGCTTTATTTGTTGTGTCAGGACGACCAGTCAAATTATATTACATTTCTAACAGAACAAAGCAAACAAACAGAGAAAACACAAAATTTGTGAGTTTGGTAGTTGATTAAATGTCCTTTGACCAGTATCTGGCCCCTTGGAGTGCTTCTGGTGTTGCTGCAATAAGGTCCTCCCTTGTGCATGTGGCAGGGCTCAGGTTGCAATGAAGCAGGTGGTCAGTGGTTTGCTCTTCTCCACACTCGCATGTCGAGGATTCTACTTTGTAGCCCCATTTCTGAAGGTTGGCTCTGCATCTCGTGGTGCCAGAGCGCAGTCTGTTCAGCGCCTTCCAAGTCGCCCAGTCCTCTGTGTGCCCAGGGGGGAGTCTCTCATTTGGTATCAGCCATTGGTTGAGGCTCTGGGTTTGGGCCTGCCACTTTTGGACTCTCGCTTGCTGAGGTGTTCCAGCAAGTGTCTCTGTAGATCTTAGACAACTATTTCTTGATTTAAGTCGTTGATGTGCTGGCTGATACCCAAACAGGGGATGAGCTGGAGATGTCTCTGCCTTGGTCCTTTTACTATTGGCTGCCACTTCCTGGCGGATGTCAGGTGGTGCAATGTACGGCTAAGCAGTGTAATTTCTCCAGTGGTGTAGGGCGCAGGCACCCCGTGATAATGCGGCATGTCTCATTAAGAGCCACATCCACTGTTTTAGCGTGGTGAGATGTGTTCCACACTGGGCATGCGTACTCAGCAGCAGAGGAGCACAGCGCAAGGGCAGATGCCTTCACTGTGTCTGGTTGTGATCCCCAGGTTGTGCCAGTCAGCTTTCGTATGATATTGCTTCTAGCACCCACTTTTTGCTTGATGTGCAGGCAGTGCTTCTTGTAGGTCAGAACATGGTCCAGGGTGACCCCCAGGGATTTGGGTGCGCTGCAATGCTCCAATGGGATTCCTTCCCAGGTCATAATCCTCAGAGCTCGGGATGCTTGTCTGTTCTTGAGGTGAAAGGCACATGTCTGTGTTTTAGATGGGTTGGGAATCAGCTGGTTTTCCCTGTAATAGGCAGTAAAAGAACCTAGAGCTTCGGAGAGCTTCTGTTCAACCATTTCAAAGCTCCCTGCTTCAGCAGGAAAATGAGCTAATAGGAAGTTACTGGTGTTTTATGAAACTAGTCCAATGTGGGCTAGGCAAAACTACGGTGAGGTGGATCTGTAATTGGTTAAATGGATGAACCCAGAGGGTGCTCACCAATGCTTCCTCTTCATCCTGGAAAGAAGTGACAAGTGGAGTGCCATCAGGAGGGTTCCGTCCTGGGCCCGGTCCTGTTCAACATCTTTATTAATGACTTAGATGAAGGGCTAGAAGGCAGGATCATCAAGTTTGCAGACGACACGAAATTGGGAGGGAGAGCCAAGACTCCAGAGGACAGGAGCAGGATTCAAAACGATCTTGACAGAGTAGAGAAATGAAGGGCCAAAACTAACAAAATGAAGTTCAACAATGCCTGGCTCGAGAGCAGTACGTGTGAAAAAGATCTTGGAGTCCTCGTGGACAACAAGTTAAACATGAGCCAACAATGTGATGTGGCGGCAAAAAAAGCCAATGGGATTTTGGCCTGCATCAAGAGTAGGAGCCTAGTGTCTGGATCTAGGGAAGTCATGCTCCCCATGCTCTATTCTGCTTTGGTTAGACCACACCTGGAATATTGTGTCCAATTCTGGGCACCACAATTCAAGAGAGATATTGACAAGCTGGAATGTGTCCAGAGGAGGGCGACTAAAATGATCAAGGGTCTGGAGAACAAGCCCTATGAGGAGCGGCTTAAGGAGCTGGGCATGTTTAGCCTGAAGAAGAGAAGGATGAGAGGAGATATGATAGCCATGTATAAATATGTGAGAGGAAGCCACAGGGAGGAGGAGGGAGCAAGCTTGTTTTCTGCTTCCTTGGAGACTAGGATGCGGAACAATGTCTTCAAACTACAAGAGAGGAGATTCCATCTGAACATGAGGAAGAACTTCCTGACTGTGAGAGCCGTTCAGCAGTGGAACTCTCTGCCCCGGAGTGTGGTGGTGGAGGCTCCTTCTTTGGAAGCTTTTAAACAGAGGCTGGATGGCCATCTGTCAGGGGTGCTTTGAATGCAATATTCCTGCTTCTTGGCAGAATGGGGTTGGACTGGATGGCCCACAAGGTCTCTTCCAACTCTAGGATTCTATGATTCTATGCCTTTAATGCTTTTATAAGGTTTTTATAATGAGTGTTAATTGTTTTTAACTTTGTTTTCGTTATGTTTATGTTCATTGTGGCATCAAATTGTGCCAGAGTAAGGCACTTCGAGTCGCCTTCGGATTGAGAAAGGCAGCATAGAAATACAGTAAATAAATATAAAATAAATAAAACGGAATGTTGGTGGACAGGAAAAGAGATTTAAAGACGGGCTCAAAGCCAACCTTAAAAACTCTGGTATAGACACCGAGAAATGGGAAGCCCTGGCCCTTGAGCGCTCCGGGTGGAGGTCAGCTGTGACCAGCAGTGCTGCAGAATTCGAAGGGGCACACTTGGAGGACCATCATCCTCGTGCTAGAAGTATTGATAATTAGCAGTACTCTTTAATACGAATAATATCAAAACCTGTAACATGTGTCTATGATTGTATTGTGCATTATTATTAATTATTAATATTCATTTACTGAAAAATTATAATTATTTGCAATGTTACAATAGCTATTAATGCTAATGTTACAACCTATTATGAATGAATTACAAATTATATTTATATGTAATGTGATATAATTATGATAAACAAATACAGTTCATATAAATAACAAACCCAGGAAGCCCCGCCCCCTTGTGGCCCCGCCTCTATCTGGAAATCTATGAATAGGCCTTTTTTGAGTCACCGCTTATGCCCCGCCTCCTCGCCTGTCATTCAAAACGCCGCTGGAGTTCAAGAGGGTCACGTGGGATGGGGAACCGGTACGGCAGAGAAGGCTTCTGTGCGCATGCGTAAATCCATGTAGAAAAGAAAGGGGAGGGAAGCGTTACGTCATAGAGAGCGAATATTTCCTGTGCGCATGCGTCAAACCATCTATGGGGATGAAATAAGAGCAAGAGAGAGAAGCGTACGTCATAAGAGACCTAGTGTTGTGTCTGCGCATGCGTCAGGTCCATTCTGCGCACGCGTTATCCGTGCTCTAAAAATAGAAGAACGGGGAGGGAATTGTTACGTCACAGAGGCCGAGTGTTACTTCTGCGCATGCGTTAGTCCTGGTCTGCTAAATAGAAGTCGAAAAAGGGGCGGGACGTTAATACGTCACAGATGCCGCTTGTTGCTTTTGCGCATGCGTTGTCTTTACGCTGGAAACTAGAAGAGAAAGGGGCGGAAAGTGCAACGTTGCTTCTGCGCATGCGTTGGGTGATGGGGGAGTAAAACACATATGTGCGCATGCGTTATCCGGTTTCAATGAGCTATATTTGCGTCACAGAGGCCGAGTGTTACTTCTGCGCATGCGTTGGGTGATGGATAGTAAAGCACATATGTGCGCATGCGTTATCCGGTTTCAATGAGCTATATTTGCGTCACAGAGGCTGAGTGTTACTTCTGCGCATGCGTTGGGTGATGGGGAGTAAAGCACATATGTGCGCATGCGTTATCCTGTTTTAATGAGCTGTGTGTCAGAGGCCGAGTGTTACTTCTGCGCATACGTTAGCCCTGCTCTGCTAAATAGAAATCGAAAAAGGGGCGGGACGTTAATCACAGAGGCCGCGTGTTGCTTTTGCGCATGCGTTGTCTGCTCTGGAAAATAGACGAGAAAGGGGCGATAGTGCAACGTTGCTTCTGCGCATGCGTTGGATGATGGGAGAGTAAAGCGCACATATGTACGCATGCGCTTTCCGGTTTCAACGAGCTATATTTGCATATAGAAAATGGCGCATGCGTGAACTGCGGGTGTAAGAGCTGGAGTTAATGTCCAATGCCTGAGCTAAGGGGAAGAAATCATGAAAGAAAGTGGGAGGGGCTAAGACGCGCATGCGCAACGGCGTACGGAGAGGAGAAGAAAAAGGAATGGCGCTAAATCGCGCATGCGTGAGGGCACACGGAGAGGAGGAAGGGAGAAGAAAGTGGGAGGGGCTAAGATGCGCATGCGCAAATGCGTACGGAGAGGAGCAGAAAAAGGGATGGCGCTAAATCGCGCATGCGTAAGGACGTACGGGGAGGAGGAAGGGATGAGAAAGTGGGCGGGGCTAATCCGCGCATGCGTACTGGTGAAAGTAAAAGGATGGAGCTAAGATGCGCGTGCGCAGAGGAGGGGGAACGATGTTTCTTGCGCATGCGCTTTCGTTGCCTCCTTTTTCATTGGTGGAGACGCCTCTTCGGTCGGTGTCTCTCTCTCTTTCTCTCTGGTCACGTGGTGAAGGAGGGAGGGAGGGGGCAGGCGAAGGAGCGGAGTCACGTGACCGCGGCTGCTGCTGCTTTTGTGAGCGCCTCAGGCAGGTGAGCAGCGCGGGCGGCCTCAGTTTTCTCCCCCGAACCCACCTCGTGGCGGCCCCGTCCCCTCAGGGAAAGCCGGGCAGGCCCCTTCCCCGCCTCCCTCTTGTCTCAGAGCACGACCCCCACCCCTTTCCTGAGGGAAACTGAGGCAGATTGGGTCGCGTCTGTGAGACTTGAGGGGCAATGGCGGATGGGAAGCTAGGCCTCGAGGGGCTGCCGGGCTGGGAAGGCGGGTGGGAACTCTGTTTACACGTGTAGGAAGCGGGGATGGGTTACACGTGCCAAGAGGGTGCTGGTTGTGTGGTTGAGAAGTTGTTTCTCGTTTTCAGGTTGATAAAGAACACGTGTCAATGTAAAAAGAGAGTGTTTCCCTTACTTGTAATGATCCTCTTCCCTTTCCTTTCTTCTCTTCCCCAACCTTCACAGTGAGATAAAGTGTGATTTATAGGAAGGAGAAGCTATTAAGGTTTCATTTCTACCTTCCTCAGTTTCTAGACCAGGGAAAGGGCCATTTGAGCCCTCCTCCAGGTGTTTTGGACTCCAACTCCCACAATTCCTAACAGCTTCAGGCCCCTTCCTTTTCCCCTTCAGTTGCTTAAGTCTACTATACTCAATTGTATGTTTATTCTATGCTTAGACTGGGCATGGGCAACCCTCCAGGTGTTTTGGACTTGCTTAGGCCAGGCATGGGCAAATTTCAACCTTCCAGGTATTTTGGACTCCAACTCCCACAATTCCTATCAGCCTCAGGCCCCTTTCTTTTCCCCTTCAGCCGCTTAAGTCTACTATACTCAATTGTATGTTTATTCTATGCTTAGACTGGGCATGGGCAACCCTCCAGGTGTTTTGGACTTGCTTAGGCCAGGCATGGGCAAATTTCAACCTTCCAGGTGTTTTGGACTCCAACTCCCACAATTCCTATCAGCCTCAGGCCCCTTTCTTTTCCCCTTCAGCCGCTTAAGTCTACTATACTCACTTGTATGTTTATTCAATACTTAGACTGGGCATGGGCAACCCTCCAGGTGTTTTGGACTTGCTTAGGCCAGGCATGGGCAAATTTCAACCTTCCAGATGTTTTGGACTTCAGCTCCCACAATTCCTAACAGCCTCAGGCCCCTTTCTTTTCCCCTTCATCCCCTTAAGTCAACTCATATGTATGTTTATTCAATGCTTAGACCAGGCATGGGCAAATTTCAACCTTTCATGTGTTTTGGACTCCAACTCCCAGAATTCCTAACAGCTTCAGGCCCCTTCCTTTTCCCCTTCAGTTGCTTAAGTCTACTATACTCAATTGTATGTTTATTCAGTGCTTAGACTGGGCATGGGCAACCCTCCAGGTGTTTTGGACTTGCTTAGGCCAGGCATGGGCAATGCTTAGGCCAGGCATGGGCAAATTTCAACCTTCCAGATGTTTTGGACTTCAACTCCCACAATTCCTAACAGCCTTAGGCCCCTTCCTTTTCCCCTTCAGCTGCTTAAGTCTACTATACTCACTTGTATGTTTATTCAATGCTTAGGCCAGGCATGGGCAAACATCAACCTTCCGTGTGTTGAAGGTTGTATGTTTGTTCAGTGCTTAGACTGGGCATGGGCAAATTTCAAACTTCCAGGTGTTTTGGACTTCAACTCCCACAATTCCTAACAGGCCCTCAGGCCCCTTCCTTTCCCCTCTCAGCTGCTTAAGTTCTACTATACTCACTTGTATGCTAATTCAATGCTTAGGCCAGGCATGGGCAAATTTCAACCCTCCGGTGTTTTGGATTTCAACTCACACAATTCCTAACAGGCTCTCAGGCCCCTTCCTTTCCCCTCTCAGCTGCTTAAGTCTACTATACTCACTTGTATGTTTACTCAATGCTTAGGCCAGGCATGGGCAAATTTCAACCCTCCAGGTCAGTGGTTCTCAACTAGGGGTCCCCAAAGTATTTTGGCCTACAACTCCCAGAAATCCCTGCCAGTTTACCAGCTGTTAGGATTTCTGGGAGCTGAAGGCCAAAAACATCTGGGGACTCCAGGTTGAGAACCACTGCTCCTGGTGTATTGGACTTCAACTCCCACAGTTCCTAACAGCCTTAGGCCCCTTCCTTTCCCCCTTCAGCTGCTTAAGTCTGCTATACTCACTTGTATTTTTATTCAATGCTTAGGCCAGGCATGGGAAAATTTCAACCTATGTGTTTTGGTTTTCAACTCCCACAATTCCTAACAGCCTCAGGCTCCTTCCTTTCCCCTCTCAGCTGCTTAAGTCTACTATGCTCACTCGTATGTTTATTCAATGTTTAGGCCAGGCATGGGCAAATTTCAGCCTATGTGCTTTGGATTTCAACTCCCACAATTCCTAACAAAGAGCCTCAGGCCCCTTTCTTTTCCCCCTCAGCCGCTTAAGTCTACTATACTCATTTGTATGTTTATTCAATGCTTAGCCCGGACATGGGCAAATTTCAACCCCCCAGGTGTTTGGACTTCAACTCCCATAATTCCTAACAGCCTCAGGTCCCTTCCTTTTCTCCCTCAGCCGCTTAAGTGGAAAAGAAAAAGGAAAGGGCCTGAGGGTGTTAGGAAATGTGTGAGTTGAAGTCCAAAATACTTGTAGGGAGGGCCCAAGTTGGCCCATGCCTGATCTTGCTCATGTCCATGAATATGTAGGTAATGATTTGGTTGAAGGTTTAGAGCAGGGGTCCTCAAACTTTTTTAAACAGAGGGCCAGGTCACAGCCCCTCAAACTGTTGGAGGGCCATAATATAATTTGAGGGGAAAAAACCATGAATGAATTCCTATGCACACTGCACATATCTTATTTGTAGTTGAAAACCACTTAAAAACAATACAATAATTAAAATGAAGAACAATTTTAACAAATATAAACGTATGAGTATTTCAATGGGAAATGTGGGCCTGCTTTTGGCTGATGGGATAGGATTGTTGTTGTTGTTGTTGTTGTTGTTGTATGCTTTCAAGTCGTATCAGACTTAAGCTGTCCCTGAGCGCGGGCTGGGTAAATGACCTTGGAGGGCCATATCCGGCCCCTGGGCCTTAGTTTGAGGACCCCTGGTTGAGAGGGTGTGTTGATCAAGTTTGCAGATGACACCAAATTTGTAGGGATTGCTCATCCTCCAGAGAATTCAAAAGGACCACAACAGTTTACAGAGCTGCTTGGCCAAAACTAATAACATGAATTGAAACAAGGACAAATGTAAGATATTATTTATTTATTTATTTATTATTATACTATATGTATACTCCGCCCTTCTCACCCCTAAGGGGACTTAGGGCGGCTTACAGACCATGGCAAATTCAAAGCCACATTACATATACAACAATAAATACAACATACCAATTTAAACAGTAAAAATATAAGTACAATTAAACAGCAGAGTTAAAATATCAGCACAATCTATATAAATAAAAATGTAATTTTTTGTGGGATTAACGTAACTGAAAAGCCACTGGACGAATTGATGCCAAATTTGGACACAATACACCTCTCAGGCCAATGAGTGACCATCACTCATAAAAACACTGAAAAACACAGTGGAAGAGACTTAAAAATAAAAAATACATTATAACGCATGTGGAAAACCACATATATACACATGAATACACACACAAAACACATATACATAGACTGGGCCACAGCAATGCGTGGCAGGGGACGTCTAGCAAAAAAAAAGGACAACGCAACAGCTTAAAAGCATACATTCAATCTCTTAACAACTTAAAAGCATACATTCAATAGGTGTTGCTGTGGTTGGCAGCAGCCAGCTAGGCCGTTGAAGTACTTGGCCTTAGATACTCCACGTAGGCAGGAAAAAAATGAAATGCAATGATACAGGGTGGGTGATTCCTGGCTCGACAACAGCCCATGTGAGAAAGATATTGGAGTCTTCCGTGACATGAGCCAAGAGGGTGATGCAGCAGCTCAAAAAGGCAATAGGATTCTGGTCTGCATCAGAATGAGGTTAGTATTTAGATCGAAGAAAGTCATGGTACCTCTCTATTCTGCTTTGGTCAGACCACTTTACCTGGAATCACACTTTGTCCAATTCTGGGCGCTATCGTTCAAAAGAGATATTGACAAGCTGGAAGGTGCCCAGAGGAAGAGGGCAGCTAAAATGGTCAAAGGTCTGGAGACCATGAATCCCCCTGAGGAATGTCTTAATGAGCTGGGTCTGTTTAGTCTGCAGAAGAGAAGGCTGAGAGGAGACATGAGAGTCATGTATAAATATGTGAAAGGATGCCATAAGGAGGAGGGAGGCTTGTTTTCTGCTGCCCTAGAAACTAGAATTCGGTGGAACCATGGGTTCAAATTACAGGGAAGGAGATTCTACCTGAACATTAGGAAGAATTTCCTGACTAAAAAGAGTTCTTCAGCAGTGGAACTCTCTGCCTCAAGAGTTTGGTGGAATCTCCTTCCTTGGAAACTTCGAAACAGAGGCTGGATGGACATCTGTCAAGGATAGTTTGATTGTTCTTTTCCTGGCCATGTAGTCTCTTCCAACTCTGTTATTCTATGATTCTAAAGAAAGTATTTCTTGAGATTGTTTACCTCAGTCCCAGCAGTAAAGAGCTATTTATTTAAATCATTTTTGTATTGCCTCTGCAATGCTGCTAGGCCCCTTGAAAGCCAGGAACAAATAAACAAATAATAATATTCAAAGGTAAGAAAGTATTCAAAACAAATTAAAATATCTATCCCTCTCCATTTGTATAGTCCTCGCATGGGAAAACTTCAGTCCTCCAGGTGTTTTGGACTTCATCTTCCACAATTCCTAACAGTAGGCTGTTAGGAATTGTGGGAGTTAAAGCCAAAAACACCTGGAAGGCCCAAGTTGGCCTATGTCTCTTATAGTCGCTTTACAAATTGTAAGGTCTATTTGTTTTAAGTATTTCTATATTGCCTCCAAATTGACTAGGTCTATGGAGGTAGAGGAATAAATAAATACCGATTAAAACAATGTAAAGATAAAAAAATTAAAATAACAATTAGAATATTATATCCTAA